CATTCCTTCGGATCTAAGCGGTGACAACCGCACCACTGCGAACTGAGGGAATAGCATTGTGCCATTTAGTTGCACGATCGTGATGCCCTATGAGTTGGTTTGGGTCGTGGGACTGTACCTCTTCTCTCCAACCTTCGTCCGTTCCATGACAAGTTGGTCGAGAGACTACATATTCCATTCTTCTCTCATTTGGTTCTCAATCCTCGTCGATCCAGTGAGATGTGGATTGATCCCCTTGCTTATTTGGTGTTTATTGCACTCTTGATTCCATTCCCTTGATTCTCATCGGCTTCTATAGCGAGTGGATCAAAGGAAGGCGAATCTCGTGTTCTTCTCTTTTGGTTCTTTCGTGCTTAAGCCCTTGTATGTTTGTACCCAATTGGACCATAGCATTTTTGTGGTTCTTGCGGTGACAACCGCACCGCTAAGAACCCTAGAGATGTCTTAGTGCATTTAGTGCACCTAGCTCCTACAAGTGGATTGGGCACTCGTGTCCTTTTGTGTGTCACTCCTTTCCGATGCCTCGTCCTTTGCCATGGCGTATGTATTGGAGGAAGTAGACCATTGCCCTGCTTTTCTCTCTTGTTCCACCCTTTCTTGGTTCTCGTCAATTACAATGGCGTACGGATTAAGAGAGACTAGAACTGTTTAGCCGCTCCTTTCGATTCACGTCAATCTCTATGACGCCGGATCGAAGGACCGCGAGCCGTGGTGTTTGCTTAGGATGAGCTGAGGTCTTGGCCATTTATCTCAAAGCCGTACAGGTCGACCAAGATCGACCCAGGAAGTACTAGCTAGGCCTTGATTTAAGCTTGTGCTTAGCAAATAACCACTCTCGTTTCTTGGCCCAGGGATCGGACATCCACCGAGAGGGCTAAGTCGTTCCTTTTGGTATTCCTTCGGTGTTGTTGATCTTCCTGCGTCTTGCCGCCTTTTAGAGTATTGATTGTTCTCTTGCCTGGTGTGTGTCACTCTGTGGAGTAGTTGCGTTGATCGGATCGGAACCCACGGGAGAAAGAGAACATGACTGACAACAGGACTTTGGAGTGGAGTTGATCTGGGAGGAGGAGACCTTGCTGATCGACTACACTGACTAACGAAGATTTGTACCACTACTACCTCGACATCGCAGGTGTCATGGCAGCACCCTCTTTTAGAGAAACCTATTAGACATTGCATAATATCTAGAACTGCTAGCGCTTTATATTTAATCATTTGCTAGTATATTGATGCATGCTACTACCTGAGCCATTATCACCCTGATGCAACCCACTCTACCACGTCACCCTGCTTTGCGCATTCGCTCACTTATACATACTGACTTGCCTGCTTGCTTGCATATTACACCACTATACTTATTATTAACTCCACTTCGCCTTATATCATGGATGTGATGCTGGTGGTGAACCCCTGGGAATGGTTTGGCTTGGGAAGCCGGACTCTGTGGTGTATGAGCGTGCTGCGTGTGTGCCTTGGGTGCGTGGAGAGTGAGGGTTGCGTCGACTGAGCTGGAATAACGACGAGCCTGGGGCGAGTCTTGCCATGTGGTGCTACCTGGGCACTCGGATATGGTATACCTGTGGTGGGTAAATGGTAATTGGAGGTGGCCTTGGGTGTGAACCTGTGATGGGAGGAGCCCAGGGTGGAGGTGCTGTGGTGGCACGTAAAATGGAAACCCTGATAAAGACATTCTGGCTTGGTCAATCCCTAAGGACTTACTAGTACTCAGACTCACCGGGAATCCTTTACATCCCACTCGCCCTATATGGTGCGGGACGGTCGGACTACTTGGTAGAGCGATGCCACTACTACTAGGCGAACATGTGCAAGGAGGTACGAGGCGCGCGGTTTTTCCCCCACACCCTTTCGAGACTTCAGGAGACCTTGTGGACCCGGCTCTTGACATCCGAAGGGCCCCGGCTCTGTCTACGACTCACAGTATCAGCCATCCTAGACTAGACTTGGGATGTTCTAGGGCTGAGAGGTAGGGTGGCATCGTTCTAGGCTAGCAAGTGACCGTAATTTTGCCTAGGAGATTCTAGACTCCGAGGATGGCTAATCTTGTGGGCATGTAAAACCTCTGCAGAGTGTATGGTTTATCGATCGATACATATGCCGACTTGTTGGCTATGGACCTTTCCTGGGTTTCGCTTAAACTAGATAGGAGATGAGTCCTTCTTTCCTCTCTCCAGGGTTTGGGGTATTACCCGGTCGTGAGCCTTGGGGCTGTGGGCCATTGAGACAAGGCCGAGAGGGAGTTGGCCTGTCGACCTGAGTGTGTGAGATGAGATATGGTGTGGTGTGGTGGTGTGGAGATGGTTTGGGATGGATGGTTGGTGGATGGATATGGATGGTGTGGTGGTGAATGTGTTAAAAATTGGATATTATTATTATATTACTAATGTTATTTACTTCTCATGCGCTAAGAATGTAAACCACAGCCAAATATTAGGATCACCAGATCCCTTGTTTATCTTTTTCACTAAAGCTCATCGGTGCTGACCATGGCCTGCACACATCTGGCGGTGTGCAGATTTCCTGCTTCTCAGAGATGCTGACTTTAGAAGGATTAGGAGGTCTCATGCCTACGCTCAAGTTTGGTTCGGAGATGGAATCTACGCTGCACTACGCCAACTCTGATGATGCCCGTGAAGGAGGAGCCTTCACTCGATAGTCTTCCGCTAGATTAACTCTGTAATAGGTGTGTTTCCTAGTGATGTAATATCTTGTATTCTAGTAATCTTACGATGTATGACTATGACATCAACTGAAATATGATAATATGATGGAATCAGTTCTTGGTTTTATCATATTAAAATTCATTCTGTTGATTTTCTCTTCAAGGAAAATTGAGGATGTTTCATCGACTGCTCCCTACAAGCCGCTGGCGCCCGGTCCCCTCCAAGCTGCCGCCGTCCGCAAGAGTTCCGCGCCGACTCCTCCATCTCCAGGCAGTGACGGTGATGCACGTCTTCCTCTCCCTCCCCTCTCAAATCTGTAGGCCTTGGCTACATCCTCGATCTGAATAATGTATTTTGGTTTGATTGAATAGCCTCTACTAGTAGATAGGCCCATCACTGTGTGTTCTTAATCTACAAAGCTAGAGTTTACACACAAGGAATAAGACTTTGTTGTTTTATTAATTGGATTGCGAACAAATGATAAAGCTACAAAGAAAGGATTTTTTTAGATAGAGTAAATTCAGAACATATTATGGGTATATCTTTTGTTCTTATATGTACACCTGAATTGTTGGATTCTAGGCATTGGTCCAATTATTATTTTATTTTCCTTGTGCATTGCCAGGTTGATTTTTCTGTAGAAAACCTGTACTGATATTTTGGTGTATGCTGATTTCCGAGGGTTAGCCTATTTTTAGCTTGTATATTTGGTATACTGAATTTATAGATGCAATCTGTTTACTATATTTCTTTGGCATGACATAAAAGATGTATTTATTTTATCTCTGCGCTGCAAAATGTCTGTGGATTGATCTTTGTTTATTTTTGAATAATCTGGTGTAGGCAGGTAAGAAAAAGAATGGTGATTTCTCACTGAAGTTAAACCTTGAAAAACAGGGAATGCAAGAACTTTTCTGCAGGTAATAAACTGAACTTTCTTTGACATATTACCATTTGCATATTTGTTATTTTGGAAGGTTAACTTTCTTTGACATATTACCATTTGCAGGGCCTTGGAGCAGTAGCTATCAAACTTATACAGTTTGTTCAAACATACGGTGTATCCTGTGGTCATTTAAATAGACCATTTCGTCCAATACTATTGATCAACATGTAGTTTAATTTCAGACAAGCACGACCACTAGCGGCTCAGCAAAACTACTTTAGTTTATTTTAGTTCTTAAGACAATTCAATTTTCAATTCTGTTTTTTTTATTTTCTAACGTGTTGAAGCTATGGACCTTGCGGATGTAATTTGTCTATTGCATATGAACCTTGGTGGATGTAATTTGTAATCCATTTATTTAGTCATTGTTATGAGTAGGGGTGAAAACGGTACGGATATTTTTCGATCGTATCCGAGACCGAATCCGTTTAGAGGGTTTAGATCTATCCGTATCCGAGTTCGGATATTCAACATTGGTATTTATTTACACACGAAAGAAATGGAAATCGAAGATTTCTTTCGACCAATATAAAACATTATCTTAGCCACGTCACGGAAAAGATCTATAAAGTAGAGTTTGTGAGCCTGCGACGCCGCGTTCTCCGTGACTTGTGTTAATTTCACACACTTTGATTTTTTGGATTAAGTGTCACTTTAACATTGATATTTAATTTTTATAGTATTATTATCTTATCGTACGATCCGTGTGTTTTTAGTACAAAATATTAGCTATCCCATAGCAACGTACGGACACGCTACCTATTCTCTTAAAGAATCGAAGTATTGGTGGTTATATTGAGAAAAAATAAGTCAGTGATCATCGAGCCCTGCACGACATGACCCAATCAAAGATTCATCAAATAAGCATGAGCGACAATTAGGCATGCACGCGGTAGCCAAGAGATTTCGGGAGGCTACCAGACTACTTGCGTCACGGAATGGCCTGGCAAATCTGTCCCTATTTATCGCAAAGTTATATGGATTCATTTCCAACCTCGAAAGAGAAGTACCAAAATTAAGTGTGAGGAGGCCATTAGCAATTGCAGAGAGGCAGTTTCTATTTTTGGCACAAAAGGTGAATTTGATTTTGGAAAATACTTGTCGAGAAAAGAGACTTTTTTTTTGTGCACCGCTGGATGCGGATCCGACGAGCAAGATCGTCTCACAGTCACAGTCACAGTCCACCGACATCGCGCCATCAATTGCTATGGTAATTAACCTGCCATTGTTATGGTGTAAACCTTCATTTTATTTGTTCCTGCCGCGTCTCCTTTTTCATATATCTATAAAAATCGCTTGGCCGTGCACCGTCCGTCCCCCACATTTGCAAAGGAGAGAGAGACCAAACCCCACACCACCTTTAACCCCAAACCCTAGCGCACTCGCCGCCAACCCCACCGCCCACCGTCTCCTGATCCAATGGCGCGCCTCCACCTCGTGGCCGTGGCAATGGCCATGCTCTTGGCCGTCGCGACGGCGCAGGCACCAGGCGCGTCCCCGACGCCGGCGCCCAGGGCGCAGCCTCCGGCGACCCCGCCGCCGCCGCCGTCGCCTCCTCGTGGGGCGCCGGCGCCAGCCCCGGCGTCTCCCCCCGCGACGCCTCCCCCGGCCTCCGCTCCCGCGTCCTCTCCGACGCAGAAGCCCGCCCCGGCCCCGGCGCCGGCGCCCAAGGCCACGGCACCCGCCCCGGAGATCCCCGCCTCGCCGCCGGCGCCGAGCTCGATCGGGCAGACGCCGACGGAGGCCCCGACCTCCCCTCCGCCGCCCAGCGCCGCCTCCAGCGTCTCCCCCGCCTTGTTCCTGGTCGCCGCTGTGGCGGTCGGCGTGTTTTTCTTCTGAGGGAGGGAGGTCGGCCGGTTGGTCGGCGCCGGTGGATCCGCCGCCTGTGGTGTGAGTATGACACGATGGCTCTCGCTGCTGCTATTTGTTCGCCGCGCCGTCGTTGCATTCGGGTTTATTACTAGCATACTACCTGCTCCTAGTAATACTATAGTTGGGTTCGTGAGATCAGATCTAGCGTTTGTGCGTGCGTGGTGAGTGTGATAGAGATTGATGAGTTGAGAGACAGTTGCTATCTGGGTTGGGATGCCATTGTATAATCCCCCGCGTTTTTTAGCGTATTCTTTGTTTGTTCTACATACAACAGATCTGCTCACTAGGAGAGTACGTATTATTTATCTTATTAGATAGGAGTTATTGTTAATAGCCTGTTTTCCATCAGATCCGGTGCTCTGTCGTATGTTACCTTCTCCGTTCTTCTTTTTCTTCCCCCGTCGTACTTGTGAGATGTCAGTCGTCAGTGGCGTCTTGCTCTCACTTTTCCTTTTTCCTTGTTCGTTCGTACTATACTCGTAATGGTGACTCTCGAGATGGAGGTGATAGGTTTGGCCAGCTGGGGAGCACCACCACCATACCATGGTCTCCAATCCTCCATAGTAGGGTAGTAGGAGAAGTCCGGTGAAGCGTCTGGACTCGGTGCACGACTCAAGTGACAAGTGGAACCACACCACACACGTCAAAGGGGAGGAAGTGGACGTGCGAAGCGACCATCGGCCGTCGCTTAGTGCGCCGCCGACGACAGGGACAGCAGGCGAAGTTAGGAACCATTGTTGATTGTTTGATTTGATGCTCAAGAGGGAAGGCGCGGGTCGCGTGGTGATCGGATACCATGGGACTCGGCGAGACTGCCCGCCTCCTGCTCCCTTGGATTTTCTTGACCATGGGGGGGTTGGGGTGCTTTGACGTGGGCGCTCCGCAGGCCAGGATCAGAGGGTGGCCGAAGCTTATGGACCTTGTAAAACATACAATTGATTTAATTGAATAAGGTTCATTTAAGGCCAATTAAATTCAACAGCATAGCTACCTCTCACATAAGAGCAAGGCTAATAAGCATATTTACAGTCTTTCTCTCAGCCCACACATATAATAGTTAGTTCTTCACTATTAATACATGACTTACTTGTCTCTCTCATAAAGTTTCTCGGTTCTTGTAGCTAAGCTGGCTGTAAGTTTACCGCCTGCTTCTCTTCTCTCTCCTCTCCTCTCTCCTCCACTTCAGCATTCAGTCGGCTTATAGCTTGCTATTATACTAATTTGCAAAATCTAACACGGGACCAACGCTCGTTGGCGTGATGGCGCGACCGCCTCTCCCTTTTCCTCTCCAACGCGACACGACCCCACACTCCCTCTCCCATGCGACCCTGTGCCCCCTTTCCTTCTCCCCCGCGACCACGCCCTCGTCGGAGAAGGAGGCGCTAGTGTTTCGGCGAGCCGTCTTCTTCTTGCCCAACTCCGACGGGCCTAGTAGTGGGCGGTTAGGCCCCTGGCGGTGGTAGAGGCGGCCGAGCCAGGGCGGGGGCGGGCGGTGGGCGGTGTGGCCGGCTGTGAGGGAGGAGGCGGGGGTGGGGGAGGAAGGGCGCACGGCATGGGGAGGGAGAAGACTGAGGCCGGGGTTGTGCTCGCCGTCCGCACGACGTGTTGTGTGTTAACAGTGTCCCACATAATTGCCACACGTAATTTCAGGCTTATGTCCCATTACAAAGCACGGACATAATATTAGCTAGTGAAATTACAATTCCGGTAAGCACGTTCAGTCCAACGTGTGACACGTGGTGAGTTTGTCGGAGGACATGTACCCCATGAGACAAACATCGGCAAGAGGTGCAAGGCTTGCATTTGACCCAGTCTTTACATGAAAGTCCTTGCTGGATCATATTTGGGCCCATTATGTTCTTGCAGTAGCGGATATTCCTTGTACACACCACACGCACTACATTCAACTCTATTACGCTGGGAGTCCTTTTTAAGGTTTTACCTGAAAGTTTATTCCTACTCCCCCTGCTCAAGTCTTGAAGCACCATTGTTGTCAATCAAAAAAAAAAAAAAGTCTTAAACCACCACCGTACCAGAGATGTGAAGCAAACCCAAATCAAAGACGCTTTTGCTTTGATATTCACTAGCAATTAGCAAACGTGCCCGTGCGTTGCAACGGAGTTTACAGTTTGTTGCATGGTTACTCAAATGATTTATAACCCGATGATTTATTTAACGATCATGACATATGTTTTAATTCATTTTGCAATAATCAAACTCCTTTCGATGATAGGAGGAAAGAGGATTAGAGATTTATATTTTATGATCACAACATGCGTTTCAATTCATCTTGAGAACAAACTTCATGCCGTATCTGGAAGGATTATTAGAAAGAAACTCTACTTTAATTTAATTTAAGTACATAAACAAATAGATAGGAAATATGGTAGTATTATGTTCTGCTTGTAACTTTTCATTATCCATACCAGCAGTCCAGCGCCTCTCGGCTTCCAGCGTATGGCGGCACCCCAAACCACATGACGCACTCCGCCAATGCAGCACTCATCTCTGTCCCAACAAGTAAACCGCTCGAAGCAGCAGACCCACAATCGTCGTAGCCTGGTAGTGGTACGTTGCCCCAGTGCATCACGATCATCACCAGCATCGTCGGGCAGTTCTTGGCTTTGGTCTTCAAAAACTGCTGGCTCCCATGCCCCGAACGTTCTCCTGACTTGCCAATCGAAACCGACGAGGAGGAGCTGCCGTCAAAAGAGCTTCTTGGTTTCGCTGGCAAAAAGTTGCTGCTGTTGTAAGCAGAGATGCTGATGCTGCTCGTCTTGGATGAGTAGTGATCTTCTCCTCGGCCTCTCATGCTGTGGTGCTGCAGCTCCTCCTTAAAGCTTTTCGCTGCCGCCATACGGCTCTCAGTCGCCGGGTGGTAAACCGTGGACGAGGAACGGAGGCGGCGCCGGTGGTGAGGAGGAGATGGAAGAGACCTATACGTGAGGGTAGTACCGGTACCTATACGGACTCCTCTTGGCCTTGGTGTAGTACTCCTCTTCGCTTGCCTTGGCCAGCCTCTTGGGGGACGGCAAGGGTCTCGGCGACGCGGGTCGGCACGTGTCCAGCCTTCCGTACCGCGACTGCCACGAGATCGGCGAAGGGAGCACGGTCGCGGCCGCAACCGGCTGCCGAGTCATGAGAGCTCCGACACGGCCGCGCACGCGGCGTCTCGACAGCCCCCGCGCTGGCGTCCTGTGCCAGCTGCCTATGCGTCCACGACCTGCCCGATCCGAACCCCGCCGCCTCTATGGACACGATGACGACGGGCTCCACGGGCCAGTGCAGCGCCCTCAACGAGCGCGCCCTGCCACCCCTCCGGGAGGGCTGTCCGGCACCAGCACGTCATCATCGTCGTCGACACGGAATTTCGATCTGTGTTTCGTTGTTATGTTCTTCGCTCATCAGGACGTTTCGTTTTATCTGGCCGATTTCTCCTTTTCCTTCCTTTTTACGTCCATATATACGTATTCTACCTGAACTCTGCCGTATGCGGTGCTTGTGTAGCTTGCCTAGATTACGTTGCTCCAGCATGGGAAAGACAGGGATAGGTAGAAATAAAATTGAGGAGAGGCTGATGCACGGAAGATGTAATAGACAAAATTCCAATATGAGTTTCATACGGAGTCTAGTGCCAGCGCTAGTCTGTGCAAGTACATGTGCATGCGTGATGAATTCGGATCGAAGTATAAAAAACATGTCTGTCATCATAGGGGAAAAAATAGAGTGAAACTATTGCTATTTGGGGATCGAACCTATTTCTTCTATTTTGATTAGGATTAGAATTCATATCCAATTTACTTGGAATCGGACAGATATATTTGGATTAGGATTCTTAACTATTCAGATACCTCAAGAACATATATTGAAGCCGTGCATATATCAGGAGGGCTATATAGGTAGACAAATAGACATGGTTTCCGCATTCACAGAGTTAGCTAGGGGAGGTGGAAAAAAAATAGGCTAAAATTTTACCTTTTATTATTATTAGGATATTCACTTGCTTTGCTCGGTTGGTTCAGAGGGTGGCACGTACGTATCACGCAAACCGTCGGATGATGGATCGGAGCAGGTAAGGTGTTGACACGAGAAGAGAGCTCAAGTACCGTCATCACTAGTCAGCTACGTACGAAGGCGGTGAGGCTCTCATGTCTCATCGCTCGGTTGGGCCTCTTGCTTCTAACCCGTTTTCAGCCCGTTCGCTGGTTGGTTTTAGTTAGAGCTTATCAGTTAATTAATAATATTTTTTTCTCACAATAAATCAGTATCAACTAAACTTATCAGTCTAGAAACCAACAACCAAACAAGCGGTTTGGCTCCATCCTTTTGGAACGAAGGATGTTTATTTCGCGTAACACTTGTTTGGAAGATGCTATAGAGCTCTGTGAACATTCAACAAACCAATAAGTCACTGTCATGGGCCATCGTTTTTCCGTGGATTATACTACCGTAGCATCTTTTCCTCGATCGACGTACCTTGGCATTGGGTCGTCTAGTCCCATCCTTGTTGCATACCTAACCCAACTGCCCAGAATCACTGACGACGTCTCTTCCCTCGGAAGGCCGCCGTCCCTCAAACCAAAAGTCGTCTATCACCTAACAATGCTTTGCTCAGCATGACCAATCCGTTAGCTTCTTTCAGATCAAATCTTTTAATTAGATAGATACTGGATAATAGTAGTATTGTTTTGCATGCGCTTGTTTAGTCAGCTTCAGTCTTAGGCTTCTAGAAGGAAAGGAAAACCTTTATTTGAAACACAAGTTTTTTTTTGTGTGCATGTATTTGAAGCACAAGTTGAGAATACACACAGACATGTGGAACCCAAGTTTCTTTACTTATTTATTTTGGATTTTGGATAAAAGACCACTCCGGCGGAAAAAGTTGGGCATTTTCAGAGATGCATGGACCAATTGGCAATTGGCACCGCAATAGTACATACTTTAACGTATTATTAGACACCATACATGATTATATATCAATAAGCAACAAACTGTAATAAGAATGATTATATATGTCACAGCAAATAAAATCATCATATACAAAAATATGTCCACACACACACACACACACACACACACACACACACACACACACACACACACACACACACACACACACACACACACATATATATAGAACGGAGAAGAGAAATGATAAGACACCAACAATAAAGAAAGCATCAATGATACAGTAGTACATCACGAAACCAGCAAATATAAGCGGTGTTAGCTAGCTACCGTACGTGTGGAAAATTAAATCGGATCCGGCCGTCAGACTGAAAACGCTCGCTCATCAAGAAGAAGAAGAATCCTGCACTGCCTCTACCCTCGCAAGACGATCAGGATGGTACGGTGCGTGCATGATCAGAAGAGGGCGAGCTTGACAAGCACGGCGGCGGCCACAGCGAGCGCGGGGCCGGCCGTGAGGCGCACGGACGCGCTGCCCGGGGTGCCACTGCCAGGGGCGGGGGCGCTGGGGGTGGTGGGTGCGCTGGGGCTGGGCGAGCCACCGGGGGTGGTGGGGGGCGTCGAGGGGGAGGAGCCGGAGCCGACGGTGACAGCGAGCTTCATGCCGGAGCCGCAGTGGCCGGTGAAGCCGCAGATGTAGTAGTGGGTGCCAGAGGTGAGGGTGATGGTGGCCGGGCCGTTTTGGATGGTGTTGGCGGCGTTGCTGGTGGAGCAGCCGTCGTATCCGCTCTTGTCCACCTCCACCACGTCGTGGGCACCGGTGGCAAAGTTGAACACTGCATCCACGCATGCATGCAATTTCATTAATTCATCATAACTAAAGTAACAAAAGAAAATTAAAAGATGCATGCATGGTGGTGATCGAGGATCGGACGACGCACGCACCTAGCGTGTCTCCAGGCGCGAAGGTCTTGCCACTGGCCCAGGTGGTGTAGTTGACGCTGCCAACAGTCCACCCGCTACTGTCGCCGACGGTGAACGTGGCCGCCGAGGCCGCCGCGACGGAGCTCACAACGACGAGCAGCGCGATCAGAGCGGAACGGGACGCCATGGCGCTGAGCGAGGTTACGTACGTTGGAGCGGCGAGCTGCTTTGCTTTGCTTTGCTTGTGGACGACACGTACGATCGAGCTAGGCAGCACAGGTATGTAGTAGCTTTATCGATGGATGTCGATGGTGGATGAGATGAGATGATGACTGGCCGGGTTGCACGATGGCTCCCTTTTATAGAGCGAGCAATCAAGCATTAAGCCAGCTGCTTATTCATGGGATGGGAAGAAAGACGCGACGGCTGCGGGTGCAGAGGAAAAGGGAGAGGGAGTCGTTGGTCCAAGCTTGGCCGCTTCTTCCTTTCCTTTGGGTTCAACTTTTCCTTGTGTTCTCTTCTGCACCTGCACCGCACCACCAATATAATCAATCGCCGCATGCAGCCCGCAGGTGTGTCGTGTGTGTGAAAATACTTGGCGTTGAATATGTATGCACCACCACACTCGTTCATGTTAGATTCACGTTATTCATATTCATCAGATCGGAATGCATAGTAATAGGAATACATGTACACAGTGAAGTAGGTGTACATGTTCTTGAATCCCAGTAGCTAAAAAATCATAATACACGATCTACAAAGAGGCAGAGAGAAGGGGAGTGAGAGGTTGCAGACCATCGAAGGCCGTAGTGGTCGAAGCAGTCGGAGTGGTGGAAGCGCCGGCCGGGATCTCGTTGGCGGATGCCATCTGCGCGCCGGCAGCGACGTTCAGTGGACAGAGGAGTCGGTGCAGTGAAGTGGTGGCGCAGTGGAGACGGTGGCGGCTTCCCGTCACTGGCTGCGCCCCTCTCGGATCGGGATGGGGAATATCGGTGGGGAGTCGCAGCTCAGGTGAACCTCGTATCGAGAGCCTGCCGGCCCCCACCTTTATTTATAGCGCAGTGTGACGGGGGCCCACCAACCATGTAGGGTTGGACGCCCCCGATCAGGGCGCGAGAACAAGGCCCAAAAGGCCGTTGGGCCTAACTGGTGGGAGATCAAACCTAACATTCTCCCCCTTGATCTCTCATCTATTCTTCGTTCTTTAATTTCATACTCAAAACTTTCAATTCATATTTTCTTGCTTCTATCCTATTCCTTTACAAATTAGTGCATAGAGCTGTCTCATCGTCACAGCAATCAGTGCCGTTAGACTAACAGCCACAACACCCATCTCCGTATTGGAATGTAAATTTTCTTTGGGCCCTTCGTATGTTCGGGAATCATATGCTTTCCCTTAAACCCATGCCGGCTACGTGTTCTCTGAACACGTTGGGTGGTAAGCCCTTTGTGAGCGGATCCGCGAGCATTTTCTCTGTACTTATATGCTCAAGATTTATTATATGATCCCGAACTTTATCTTTCACAACATAGTACTTTATATCAATGTGTTTGGCAGCACCACTTGACCTATTGTTGTGAGCGTACTGTACCGCTGGATTGTTATCACAATACAATCTCAGTGGTTCATTTATATTATCAATCACTTTTAATCCGGGTATGAATTTCTTCAGTCAATTCACCTGCCCCGTTGCCTCATAGCATGCTACAAACTCGGCATATATTGTCGAGGATGCAGTTACGGTTTATTTGGAGCTTTTCCACGATATAGCCCCTCCTGCGAGAGTAAATATATATCCTGACGTGGATTTTCTTTCTTCTCCCGCATAATCAGAATCTAAATACCCCTCTATCTGCAGGGAATCAGATCTTCTATACGTAAGCATGAGGCCTTTCGTACCCTGCAAATAACGCATGACTTTCTTCACTAATTTCCAATGTTCAATTCCTAGATTCTTTTGATATCTGCCAAGTAACCCGGTAACAAAAGCTAAGTCAGGGCGTGTACACACTTGAGCATATTGT